GTGTTGCTTTCACGGAGTGAAGTTTCTAATCTCACACCCAGAGTTTCATTTTTTCAGGCTTACTATCGGCTAGCAATCTAGGCAATGTTCGAAGTGTGCGTCAGTTTAGAATCGGACCCGGACCACATAAATAGCTGGCAAGCACTTTACCCCTGAACCACCAACTCATTGGTGGCTCTGAAGAATTTTTATTTTATGTTCCATTTTCTACATTCGTTACATTTCTTTACGTCTATGAATTGCCTACGTCATAATAAACCACTAGATAAAAACTATAATAATGTATTTACTTCACATTGTACAGAGTTTTGATCAACACTTTTACATGAATATCCATAAAAATGACCTGAAAATTTGAAATTATCTTTAAATATTATTCACCTTAAACTACTTCTTCTATGAGAGTGGGAAAAGTTGCTTTCATGTTAGAGATTACAGTAATAATTCAGATCACATACTTATTTAATAATATTGAGAAAAAAAACTAATTTTGGAAATAAAAATATGAACTGAACTAAGGCAATGTAAGAAAATAATCGATTAAATGTAGCATGAAGCAATATAATGAATGACTGGTTTATGAACGTACAGAACTGTATACAAGTGCATCAATTCTAGCTACCACATTTAGGAAGTACAGAAAAAAAGTAAAGGAAAGAGATTATATGAAGCTGCAGTGACGAAGATGTATATGAAAGATTGATCAGATACGAGCTAATGAGGATTTTCAAAATCCAAATGATGGCAAGGTGTTATTAAGAAGGATTTTTAGCCACATTACAAGGAATTTCCAGCTATCGACTGACACAATACAAAACATCCCATCAGATATTTCAAACTCCTCCTTGTTACTTAAACTAACAGTCAGTAAATTCAAAGATTGGTTTAACCATTCCAAACCAATTTCCAACTTAGTTCTACTTCAGCTAACATTTCTGTTGAGGAGCTTCATACTTAAAACTCCACTTTACAATAAAATGGCTCCATCAAATATTAGCTAGTGGACCAAAACGTTAACGATCAAAAACCTTTGATCGTTACATTTATTCTATTTTCAGTGGCCACGCTTTATACTCATAAAGAAGGATGGAATGAACTGAAACACAGTGTACACATCCTTTGATTTGTTGACGAATATCAAGCCCCCCTCAGAGGTAACGAAATTCGGTGTTGACGTTTCTACAGTAACCAGCCCATTGGGGTAAATACACCTTCCTAAAATAAGTGACATGGTCAATACATCCGGTCACTTTACTCTTTACTTTTCAACTATGAATAGATGCAGAACAGTTCTATAGCATTATCTTACAACTGGGAGGGGCGAAACTCGTATGCACAACATACTCGAACTTTTTTAGTTTCTTCAGAAGACTCTGTGTTTTTTCATAACCTTCACCTAGAAGGATAATAATATCTGCATACTCAAGACCAACTGCGTTTCTCTCAGGTTAGAAATAGGGCAAGTTATAAGCGTCATTAAGTACGCCTTCGTTCCAGTATCTAAAGAAAAATGAAGATTTCATCAATGCATCTAAGAATCTGCTTGAATTCCCTGAAGTTTTTTTCTCCATACTGTTTCTGTATGATTATGGATCCTAGGTACTATTAATCAAGCTGAGCCCCTATGGTTAACACGGGAAATTTTATTCGTTTGTTATAGTCTGGGAAAACTAACCATATAGTCTAATCTGATGGAAATATCTAGCATCCAGGAGAATATCAGATAAACTGACCAACAATTTCGATAAAAACCAATTCCCCAAGACATTCAATTTTGCAAAATATGCTCTTGTTACACGTAGCTATTGATTATATATATATATATATATATATATAAAGCGAAACAGTCTTCAGGTTTCCATCTTAGTTCTTATTAAACACAAATAATGAATCATCATTCAATGACTAAATGAAAAAGAACTAATAGAATAAGTAATTAAGTGTTCGAAATGTATAAATAACCCATAAATCTTACAACCACAGGGGTGTGATTGTGTATATCTGTGTACATGCATATTCATAAAATGGAACGAGAGGGAGGGAGAGAGAGAGAGAATAAAATTGCAATCAGTAATTCTGAATAAATCAGACCCTATTAACTACTGTAATCATTGAACCCAATGATTTACAATACAATGCAAAGGCTATGAGACACTTTTTTATTCCAATGATTATTCTAATCAATATTCTATGTATGCTTGCAGACTAACTCATCTAGCTCCATGTTTTAGTCTAATTTACATAAAATGCTAAATTATATTTTATAAATTCATCTAATGTCACACATAAATGCCACCTATAACGAACTTGACAGTGAATACACCTACTAACTGGAAATAATTTATTTTATTTTTGCACCAAAAGCCAAATATAAATCAATGTACAGGCATCTCTTGATAACGCTGAATGAAGCAGAAAACTGGGTAATAGTATAGGCTATGAGGGCTTGAACACTACCTAACTGTCTAGGCCATAGTAGATGGAAGAGGTTCTAACTTTCATCTCATTTGTTGAAAGTCAGACACTTGTATCTGAGTATCAATTAGAAAACTGTACATAAGTGATTTTCAGTGATTTCGTTCTAGGTAGGACATCTTTAAAACACCTACCAACTGAATATTTCACTAACAAGGCATCATTAAGAAAAACGTCTACTACTTCAACGTCAGTGATGGAGTTTTAATCTATGTACATTATTGAAATGTTCTATTATTACACATTTCCCAGTAATATGTCAAGATTTTAATATGCTCCATTTTGTAAGAAGCGACAATAACTGGAACTGTTTAGTGAATGATTATTAATAACATCAACAAAGTCATGAATGTTATTTTAAAAGAGCAATAGTAATATATATGCATACTAAAAAGTTCGTAAATAACCCAAATCGAGCTTAGTAAGTTTTATTCTTTATTGCATTTCATTTGCAAGTCGCAGGCGAATTTTAGCACTGCGTAATGTATTAGGAAACTTCAAAGTAGTATGGAACGACCATTAACTTCAGAAGTGAGATTTCTAATGTAAGCAAAGTGTATATCATAACGCTAAATACACTTTAAAAAAGTTCTAATTTTAAGAATATCAGTTGTCTACAACAGTATGATGATTTTAAAATAAGGTAAAGATGTTTTCAGAAAAGATTTGCTATAGTGAACTGACTATGGATGAAGGAACTTAAAACAGTTAGGGATCTCTGAACTTACGTTTCATCTAAGTGTGGACATGAATAATGTGTCTCGTACAACTCAAAAAAATGGACCCACACAAAAAAATTGGAGGATCTGGACTTCACCGATGATATATGTCTGATTTCCCACAAACTGGAAGATATGCAAGTGAAAAGTAATAAGTTGACACAAGAAGCATCACAGATAGGAAGGACTTCAGGTGAACATAGAGGAAACAGAGGTGTGAAGATTCCTGGCCAACACCAACAACAGACAACAATCAGCCAGAATAAATTAGAGGAACCTGAAAGAAACAACCTCCTTCACCTTACTACCTACCTGGGAAGCATCGTTTCAACTACAGGCGGACAGAATTGACGAGGATATCAAAGCCAGAATCGGAAAAGCAAGACAAGCTTTCATTACTCACGTCAAATCTGTGTGGAGGTCAACAGCACTCATCATCAAAAATAAGATCCGGATTTTCAACTCCAATGTGAAGTCAGTCAGTGCTACTATACGGATAAGACACTTGGCGCGTCAGGAAGAGCACCTCAAACAAACTACAGACATTCATCAACAGCTGTCTTCACTCAATACTCAAGATCAGATGGCCGGCCAGAAGAGATCAGCAACAGGGATCTCTGGGAGCGAACCAACCGGGAACCGACTGTGAAACAAATAGGCAAGAAGTAATGGAGGTGGATTGGCTGGCCATACTCTGAGGAAACCATCAAGTGACATCACTAGACAAGCCATTTCTCGAGTGGAACCCGAAAGGGGAGCCACGAGTTGGTCGTCAATACAAGGGTGACTTGGAAGAGGCCATGTGAAGAGGAGATGAAAGCGTGTGGGCAGACTTGGAGCCAGGTGAAAACTCTAGCAGAGAACTGAACTCAATGGAGACGCGCGGCTGAAGCCCTATGTTCCTCTAGGAATCAGAGGAAATAATAATACAACTCAAAAAAATCGATTTTAAGACCGTGATATGTATTGAATTAGTTGCGTTCTCTGAGCTGACTGATTTAATTCCGAGGCTTTCGGCATACTTCTAGACAACAGTTTCAGCGCTGAAGACGTTATCGCATTATTACAGCTATTACGATATGTATTTATTGGAAGATATTCACAATAAGTCTAAGAAACCTTACAAACAAAACTCTTTAGTCAAGACATGAAGACACACTTGGAGATATGTTGTATCCATATTAGCTAACTATCTAGTTTGATATATCTCATTTCATAATTTCATAAGCCCTTCCATTAGCATAAAGTTTAAGTTTTGCAGTATGACTGTAAAGTTTACATGAAAACTGTAATTTTTGGTTTTCACTAAAGTATGATCATACATCTTTCGTAAAAATACCTCCAGTAATTTGACACTTGAATCCATGTAGTTCAGTGATTAGAGTCATCGCTGTATATAGTTCCACTTGTAATATTTGAACGTTTGACACACAACATCACAAATCATAAGTAGTTACATGAGCGTATGAGAAATATTCGTGTTTAAAACTTCTATACTGAGTGGTGACAAAGGTAGCTGACAAATTTCAGTCAACTGTTATGTCACCAAGCCAACTAACATTTCACTATACTTATACGTTGAGTGTCAGTCGACTAAAGGTTTCTTCTCGCTAGAATCCAAAAACAAGTCGTACTTGCAACACTAAGTTAACACGTATGCCTTTAGAGAGTTGAATCAGCATAAGTCAACTCTGAAACCAGCAACTTTCGAACTGAGTTGCTTAATTTAGGTGAATGGCTAAATGATTTTTACATTTTCATTGCAGTTTAAGAAACTCAACTGAAACAAAAAAACACTAAGCATACCATGATGTTACTACAGTTTCATCTTCATTAGTGATGTTGTATGCTGACAATTTTTCATTATGCATTTGATTGTTTGAAAATTTTGCATTTAATTTCGTATTTGTTATTTGTTCAGCGTTGGCATATAACGGTTGTGAAATCTCACTTGAATCACTCGCATCATCATCATTTTCATCAGCAATATGAACTTCTTGTTCTCGTCCTTGAAAGTTACCATTATTAGCATTCTCCTGATCACAAAGTGTTTCTGAAATAAATGTCTCTTGTGAACCATAATTATTATGTATGCTATTTTGTTCTTGAATTCGTGGTCTTATCAGTGTATTACAGGGTGAAGGATGATTATTTGAATGTTTTGAATGCTCCGAAGTAGTATCATTGCAGTCGAACAGTGTTTGACATGCACGTTCAATCATGCATTTACCATTAGGCTTGATCACATTATCATTATCTGGAAATATCCATGAAGATGAAGAAGACTTTGTATCACTATCATAGGCTAATGAAACAGAGATTTCTTTAGGCAGTATATTTGATGAATACTGATGTTGACGTTGTTGATAAGGTTGGGGATGATTTGATTCATTTTTTTGTAAAATAAATTCATTCACAGAATTAGCACGAGGTTTTGTAGCTAATGCAGAATCAATAAAATCAGAAGATGCGATAAGATTTTTCTTTTTTCTTGGTTCTGATGAAAACCAACAATTGTGTGTTTCAGCTATATGGAATTCTTCACATTCTTTTTGTAAGGCTTGTTCTATAATCCACTGTTTAGAGTCTGTAGCTCGTCTAGAGTGTTGTGATTGTAAGGTTAACTGTTTCATTTGACGAAATAGCCTTGTTTGAAATTTATCAGCATTTTCTATTAAAAAGATGAATAATCCACGACCGCCTTCACAACCACTTCCAGTGATCAGATAAAATCGTTTAGTGTATACACCAAATCTGGAGGTATAACAAATATATATATAATTATTTCAATAAAAATAAATAGACATATTAATGCATCAAATATACCACAGTTTGGAAGTGTACTTCATTGTAAAAGTATGGAACCGAAGGCTTCAATTTTAGTTGGAAAAGTCTAGCTTCAAAATACCATTTAAATGTAATTGAGATGCGAAATATATTAAAGACGTACTTCTATAAATCTAATTCACTCAGTATAAAGATAAAATGAATTACTTAATCTGACTGTTTTATCCCTTGTTGTTATTTCTTCTTAAATTACTGAACAAACCAATTGGTAAGCCAATAAATGGCAAAATTAAATGTATCCTATTGATTAATTATTCCTGGACAGCTTCTTCTTCACTGGTCCACGAATCTCTGTCAGACACTTCGGGATTGAATGGCATGGAAAATTTATTCTATCTAAAATCAGACGGAGTGGAACACTCAGTGAGGAAACATTTTTAAGACAGAAATCATAGAAAGACTCCACTGAACAGACTGAGATACAATCCACAAAAGCTTCAAAAGAAATGAAAGATTGATTATTCATTATCAAGGAACGACATAGGAGCAACTTTTCCCATCCACTTCTACAATGCCACTCGTGTACAGCTAACGAAGAGTACACATAGAAGATGTTTTACTCCACCCACTACTGGGTCTGATAAATTCTCCATATCATTTGGTCGATAAGGGGCTAGCAAAGATCTTTGGACCAGTGAAGAAGAAGAAGCTGTCGATATGCAATCTACAGAACTCATTTGATTTTCTCGATTCATTTAAAACGAATGGTCTCCTTAGACATCGTTTCTTTATCGACTAATATTCCACTATCAGAAACTCTGCATATTTTATGTTATTTATTCCTGTCAAATAACATAGATGTTTGTGTAATGATCCCTAAATAACCAGTCGGCATTACGTAGTCATGTTGTTTTATACTAGGGGTATGGATAGTAGTCGTATCCCATGACATTATTACTCACTGACATATAAAATAACTTATATATGTGCGTCGGTGGCACAGTGGTTAGGACTCTCATCGATCATGCGAATGGTCCGAGGTTCGATCCCCTGCCGATGCACACCTGATATCTATGGTTGGCCTGCAAAATTTGGGCTACCGATATCACATGCTGAAAATTCGATACTTGTACCAAAAATACAGTGTGGAATCAAGCTGTAATAAAAAAAAATCAAAAAAAATATATATATATACTGAACACTTAAGGTCGCCTAGATTACTAGCTTGCTAGTTTTCCAGCCGGTCCCAAGCCCGGATAAAGAGGGAGGGTTGGGGCGTGGTGCTAGCAACTCCACCCCCCAAAACTTAACCAAATCGCTACAGAAACTTCAACGCAAAAACATATTAAAAATACTAAAAATATAAACAATAACCTTATTTTTTTATGTGGTTTTGTTCTCTGAGCTGGATGGTTAGTTTGCGAAGCTTTCATCACCTTACTGGGTGACATCTTCAGCGCATACTTCAAATTGAAGTATGCGCTGAAGATGTCACCCAGTAAGGTGATGAAAGCTTCGCAAACTAACCATCCAGCTCAGAGAACAAAACCACATCAAAATCATCCACCTGAGCTACAAATCTTCTCTATAATATCTAAACCTTATTTTTCTCTGGAATCGGGGAAGCGAAATGACGCAGGTTGGTGAAAGCCTTCGGAAAGCCAGTCAGCCGATGTACCTTCTTTCGATGAAAGCAAAAGTAAGGATGGGTCCCTGGAATGTTCGTACAATGTACGAAACTGGAAAGGCTGCCCAGATAGCCACTGAAATGAGAAGATATAGGACAGAAGTGTTGGGAATCTGCGAAAGCAGATGAAACGGAACTGTAAGGTGCCAACTACCAACTGGAGAGACAATAATGTATTCCGGTCAGCCAGAGGACAACCATGAGCACACCGAGGGAGTGGCCATCATGACATCACCAACTGCAGCCAAAGCTCTCATGCAGTGGGAACCAATCTCCTCCAGGATAATGACAGCCAGGTTCAACTCAAAAGGAAGGAAGGTGACAATCATTCAATGCTAAGTGCCTACAAAAGTCTATAGTCAACTACAAACAGTAATGGACAACGTCCGAAATGGCGATATCAAAATCCTGATGGGCGATATGAGTGCGAAACCGGGAGACGCAAAGTACAGCAGAAGACAGAAACAAATGGAGACGTGCAGCTGAAGCCCTATGTTCCACTAGGAACCCAAGGGAACAATAGTAATAATAATACTGAACATTTAGAAGAACTTTGAAAAATACCATTTTCAATCTGATGAACCGTGATCACTATCACTTCATGATCACTTTTATGAAACCTAGTATTAAAGGTGATTCATATTTAAGGCATTAGCACAAACCTATGCTCATTTTATACTTGTGAAAAAACACAGAGGTACTTCGGCGGGAATCTTATTCTTCCAGCGAATTTCAACAATAGACTTAGCATTCTGAGTTTAGTCATTTTAGGTACATTGCTAATGAACTTGACTTCAAAAGAGTGAAACAGCCATCCCATGTTCAGATTGCTTCTATTTGGCCAAAGAGTACTAATCATACCACTCACTAGTATATATGCTATCATGCTATTTATCTGCAGTAAATAAAATCGGATATCTCATCACTCTGCCATTTAAGCGATAAAGCAACTTAGTTTATACGTGGACGAGTTAATCATTTCATCGATTTCTACAGTTTCAAATGCTATTGGTGCTAACTTAGTTCTGCGAGTCAAGTTGACAATGCATTCACTAAGCTAAATGACTCGTCGGTGCGAGTTACTTTGAGTCCTCATCGGTTGATTCGAGGCTGTCAATCTACGAACCCACCTAAGGCACAAGAATGATGTGTCCAAAGTGCTCTGCATTTTTACGTTTTACTGCATACCAACATCTCTTACAGCATACCTTATCAAGGGTAATATTCCATTCATAAAAATGATAATATTAGGTAGCTTGATGAAGTGAAAACCTTGTACGTATTATGTCATACTAACAAGTAAACACACACGTACACGATTCTGGCACATCACTTCACCTGTTTTTTAAAGTCAGAATTGGCTCATAGAATGTTTCATCTAAATGTAATCAACTGTGTAATTATGCGTGTGTTTTTATTGTCCAGTATTTACTATCAGTAGACAATACATGCATACATACATACGCATTCATATGCACCTGCATTTATCTGTATGCTAGAGAATATATTCATGTTACATAAGAGGAGTGAGTTTATTGTTCATACTCTTCAATGTAAATAAAATGTGAAATATATATGTATGACTCACAGAGAATAAACAATGAATTAATAAATACATGTGAAGAGAAAGAAAAACAAAGCAAAACAAAAATCATAAGCTTCTAAGTTCAACAGACGATTAAATCTACACTCTACTTATGTCTACTTCTTTTTTTTATTGAACCAAGGTGACTTAAAAACTGTCATCATTAATAGTATAATTTACATATGTATATGTAAGTCAGTAAGAAAGAAATGCTCAAAATTTGCATGTCTGTTTCATGCAAATAACATCTTATTTTGACTTCAATTTATTAACAAAACCTTTTTACTGATCAGTAAAGTTTGACAGAAAAAAATATTACGAAAAAAGTTAAATCTGGCTGTAAGTTTTTACCACACTAGGTGAAAGCGGCTGGCACACCAATAAAATCTAAGCTTCATTACACATGCACTTTATCCTCGTAAGTTACTTCTGAGTAAGGCATAGTTTGAATTCCACACTGAATTCATGACCACATGGTCACCCATTTGGTGTCTTTTCATCTCAGTGAAAGGTGAACAGAAGATAGAGTGGTTGCATCTTTTATCCTCGGCAAAATTCAGTATGCACACAATATACGGTTAGGCTAACTAAAGAGTATGTTATTACTTTTGTACATTTGACACCCGGAAAAAATTATAATCAATTTAAAATGGATAGCTTAAACTTAACTTCAAGAATAAAAACAATGATCATGCCTTTCAAGGACTAATATCATCTTTAGGTCTGACCACAACCAAATTCTCCAGATTTAATCCTATTTCAGTTTACATTCCTATTTCCGGAAGGAGGTAGCTCACCGAGAGTGACATAGAGAGTATTTGCCCAAGTTACCCTCCTAACTGTTCTCAGTGGCACAGTTATATATATATTCACTCCTTAACACCTTTGAGATTCTTGAACTACCACTGGTTTTCGACTATTGTAGTTTCCTTACATTTTCTTCCTACATTCCTGAGTGGGCCTCTCTGGTATATGGCAGCTTAAACTGATGAACATTTTTGTGCAAAAATCTTTCCATCCAAATCGAATTTGAAAACCTTTGACACTTTCAAGTTTTTGCATTCAATCTTGATCATGAACTGACTTCAGCTAGAGAAACATTGAAAACTGGAGAGAACTGGACAGTTGTTTCGTCCTTGTTAAAAATTTTTGAGCTTTCACTTTTAAAACAGAATATACCTTGTATATTTTGATTTGACACTACTAACTAGTGTGATGCGTCTAGTCCTCCGATTGGTGTAGACTGAATTCTATCAGTCAGGTTGTAATGTGGCCACCATTCTAGGTAGCTCGCCAAAACTGTGCACATTGATTTGATGATATGAAATGGTTGAAGGCAATCGACAGGAAGCCTTGGACCTAATTTTCGTGCTAGTTGGCACTCGTCAGCAAGGTGTATCTGCAACCTTGAAGGAACTTATATCCCTTCTGAAATTCGAACCCGCATCAACCAGTGCTGCAGTTAGAGACGTTACCACTGAGCTATGTATATGTATATGCTGCATATATGGTAAATCTAATCCTAAGTATTAAAGGAAGTGAATATCATGTCGGTGTCAAATTATACAGAAATAAGAATCATACATTCACTTATTAATTTTGTATAATCTTACTTGCGCACATATTTAACTGGCCATACTCTCACAATTGTATAAGTATCTGGATCCAGTAACTCGAATGCATTTTCTTTTAGACGTAATAAATACCGACCAGATAAACCTAAATCTTTTGATTTTTCTGTATGAATTACATAGACTGAAAAGGTATCTAATAGAAGAAATAAAGATTTAAAAAAATAAAATAAAATCATCTTATTGTTTAAACGGTTGGTTGTGGTAAATTAAAGATAAAAAAATTCTTATCATTAAATTTATTGTTTAGTTAATTAACAAGTGAATTGTCAGTTACCTTATTGTTAAACAAAGCGCAATACAAAAGCACATTCAGATTATCAGAGGAAAATGTTGTGATAACATATTAATTCACTTGGTCATTAACTGGAGTTTCGTGAAACAGTAGGAGTCAGTGGTTGTAACAAGTGAACTAAGAAAAGACAGAGAGACAAATAAGGAATTTCCTGGTGTTGTAAACCTGATAATTTATCTTACATACTGCCTGATTCTTTAAAACCAAATCAGTATCACTTCAACTTTCTAGATGATTGATTAAATCAAATGTTTTCAGAGACTATATCACTTTTTATTAACTGGATGTTCAATATACTTTTGAACAAAGCAAGAACTACAGTTTTCGCAGAATAAAAGGGTACCATCTTTTATTTCGTTGTTTTCTCATCAGCTGCTTACAGTCTAAAGACATCATTAAATATATCTACAAAAACAATTTTAACAAATTTGCACAGAGTTCATTTTAAACGAAAAATCAATCGATCAGTATATGCATACAGTAATTATATATATATATATATATTGTAATATTAAACACTATTCCGAACAATAATAATCATACACAATGGAAACTTTTCAGCATTTCGCGTTCAGATGAAAGAGAGACGAAAAATATCCAGGTACCAGGGCAAAGAAATGCCTGATAACTGTTTCTTTCTGAATGCACAAATCAATTTTCAGGCGCTTGATGGAAATGGCTTCAGCAAACTTGAGGAGAATTGAGCTCATTTGCCTATCGATAATTTTGAACGACTTTTCGACGTTCACCTCATGACCCGCGTCAAGAAGATGCCTAGCGATGGCACTGTTTAAAGCATTTGTTCCCTTTAGACATAAGCTTTTTGGTACATGTTCAGAAAGTTGTAGATATGCCTTTCTTTTTGTCCTTCCAATGTAACTGCTCCCACAGATACATGTAAATTTGTATATACAGTTGGAGTTGTCAGCATGAAAAGGATATCTATCGATTTTTGGTTGCACCAAAGAGCAAGTTTTTCGATAGACGGGGACGGGTTTAGCTGCACGATAGGCTACGGCTAGTGATGTACTCAGCCTTCTGTTGATAATTGCTGAAATGTTTTCACCTTTGTAATTAAGCTGAATGTAGATTGGCTTTCTACTCACTGTGATTTGTTTTACATTTGTGACTTCAGATCTTCCATACTTGTTGATGAACCTTTGAGGGTACCCATTGCTCTTCAACATTTCTTTACTTTTTTTATATTTTGACTACGGCTTGATTCCACATCGTATTTTTGGTACAAGTATGAAATTTTCAGCATGTGATATCGGTAGCCCAAATTTTGCAGGCCGAGCATAGATATCAGCTGTGCGTCGGCATGGGATCGAACCTCGGACCATGTGCATGGTTGGTGAGAGTCCTAACCACTGTGCTACCGACGCATATCTTTTCAGGAAACTCAAATTCTTCCTCTAACTCCTGTATGGAGCATATTCTCCTCGCTCTATAGTACAGAGTCTTGACTAGTCTGCGTTTAAAGCTATTTAGACAATAGCTATTGAAATGTAAATTTTCAAGTATTGGTTTTGTAGGGATTTTGTTTAATTGTATGGAGGATTTAACCATGGGCTGACACCAGTTAGAGAACCACTGGACAGATGTTTCCTCCGTCCTACTTTGGGACTCTTCATCAGTACGCACCCACCACCAGGGTTCGAACCTAGGACCTTCTGGTTACAAGGCGAGCTCGTAGACCATTGAGCCACTGGGACCCGATCCAATGGTTCTTGAATCCTAACTTCTACCAGTTCACAACATAGCGCGACCACTTCGCAATGTCTTCTTCGATGAGTTACTGCCTCATCTTCAACGTGCTGTACCCTACTGGTCACGGCTTCCCACTAGAACCCCAGGTTAACTGCCTGAATAGGGCCAGGGTGTGTACTGCTGAACAGTCTCAAACTAGGACGAAACAGCTGTCCAGTATTCCTTGGTTTTCCAGTGGTTCTCTAACTGGTGTCAGCTCATGGTGAAATCCTCCATACAATTAAAATATAAGTATTTTCCTTTCCAAGTAGGTTTTCGATAAACTGACTTTTGAAGACTACCGTCTTCTAGGCGTTGCATGGCAATGTCGAGGAAGCGGAACTTTCCGTCACTTTCATGTTCCATAGTAAACTCAATATTGGTGTGCGCATCATTGAATAATCTGAGTAAGTGGGAAGCATGACATTTTTATTCCTCTACCTTCCAGGTAGAACATAGGGCTTCAAGCTAGAGGCTTGAATTTTCAGTATCGGTGGTATGCACTTTTACGGGATGGCGTTGCTAGCCTCATGCCTAACCTTCCCCCATTTACGAGTCTTATTGCTGGCTTAGCGAGGTAAAGGAGTGTGTTGGCTGGAGATCGAACACCGATAAAATTTTGTAGATGCAATAAAATTAATACCTCTAATCTCCATTTTTTATTAATACTGTACATATACACCAGTTCATAAAAGTAATGGACAGAATGGGTTTTTTAAGTTTACTGGAACAGTTTCAATGCACCATGTCGAAACCGATATAGACATATCCCATAAATCTATAACTACGCTATTCCTAGTAATTACATAAGAATTTAACACAAGCTGATTCAAACGGTTTTCTAATTAGATTTCATGAATGTGCAAAATTCCATGAAGAAGCATTCGAGTTTTAGCTGCTACCAACATGTAATTAGGTCTACTTTGAAATTAATCACTTCTATACAAAAATGTAACCTATCAGTATCGAGACAGAGTTTATTTTGCTTTTATTGAAAGCAAAACAATCCATCTAAATTTTCTTTACAAAGAAATATGATGAGTGAACTCTTAAAAACAAACAAAAAGTGAATTGGGACCCGCATCTTTTAAAAAAGAACACTACCTTGTTCACATGTTATTAGTTTCGTTAATAATTTTCATGAGACTATATTTTATTTCTCATAAAATAATTGTTTCACTTGTTAACTGACGTTAATTGAAGCACCGATACTCATGAATAGACAACGTATCAGTTCAAATGACACTGGTTGACGAGATTCAAACACGTCTCTCTATTTCCAGGGATTGAATTAAGAAACTATCATCTGTCGAGTTAAGCAAGTACTTGTTGATCTGATAAGTTGTAATATGCTGATCAACATATACTCATGAGACAGAGAAAACGTATGGTATTATCATTGGTGAGAATCCTGTCTTATTGAATCCAAAGATGAACTTACTTAATTTGCATAATCAAACTGAAATCTGACCTAGATGACTGTAATAAATATAGTCTGGTAGATTAGTTATTTTTAAAGTGTTATACAAACAGATATAGCTTAAGGAAACTTATCCAGCGAATATAAAATGTTTTCAGTGGTTTGATGGATTTAATTATGGGGAAGTGAACTGAGGGAGTACTATAAACGACAGGACATTAATCTTAGGCTTAAAATCAATAAAAAGATTATTACTTTGATTGGACACTAGTAACGAGTAGGACGTGTCTAGTCCTTTCTTTGGTGCAGACTGAATTCTGTCAGTCAGGTTTGCAATGTGGCCACCATTCTAGATAGCTCGACATCATGGTGCACATTGATTTGATGATATTAGATAGTTGGAGGCAATCGGTAGGAAGCCTAGGACCTAAGTTTCGTGCTAGTCGGCACTCATCAGTTAGTTACTTGTGTCCAATCAAAATACCCACTACAGTCCTAAAGGAGGTCAGTCGTGAGCCCGAATAGCTCAGCGGTAACGTCTCTAACTGCAGCACTGGATGACGTGGGTTCGGATCTCAGAAGGGACATGAGTTCCTTCAGGGTTGCATATACGCCTTGCTAATGAGTGCCAACTAGCACGAAACTTATGTCCAAGGCTTCCTGTGGCCGATTGCCTCCAACTATGTAATATCACCAAGACTACTACTTATCACAGTTTAATTATCAAAAGCATTGAATCGACAAATAACCGGTAATTGGCTTTAGTTTAGTTACTATTATGTGGTTCCACCGGGAAGCTTTGATTTGTATCTCAGATGACCGGAGGTGTTGATAAGGAGCATAGGTCTCCGATGTCTTTGAAGGGTATTTACTCAGTTTTTTTTCTCATGAATGAGAACAAACATTCTGTAGAAATTCTAATATGGCAAGCAATTCATTCCTTTTTATTTTCTAATAATTTTCTGACTTACACAGATTTATACAGTGAAATGTTCACTAGTTGATTAAGTGCTTTCTTAAAATAGTTTAAAAAACCTCATATCACTTAGACTTCTTTCACCGAAACAATCTTTGAGCAATCCCCTTAAAGTGATAAAGCGAGGAGTGTATATTTCTGATCTGACAGAATAATCTGTAGACAGTGATCAGTGTCATGCTGCCCTAATGGCAACACTGATGAGACCTTTTTAGAAGTGTTTATCATGTCGCTACTAAATTTACCAACTACATTATCACTATTCACTGGATTCCATGTCGTTTGGTTTCACAGCATCAACAGAAAACACCAAGAATATTTTTTGTAAAGAAAAGCGTTGATTACTCTATCACTGATTTTTCTGGTCACACAAATTAGACGGACCTGCTGTCGTTAACACCTATAGCTAAAAAATACGAATCCATTCGTAAAGTTGTTGGATGTGAAAATCATTCATGTTCAGAATATCTGTCTAATAACCTCCCTCATCATAGTGCTAGGGAGTGAAACTTTAAGTCCTCAAAAAATTATATCTTTAAACAGAACTAGTGATGAGCCCCAGCAAATTTGAAATCTGTAGATATGAATTTGAATAAATCCAACTTAATAAAAATGATAACCATAAATATGTAAATGTTGAATGTGTACATATAAACTTGTAAAAGAAGTAAGTTAGCCTACCTGGTGCTGAAGTACTCTCATATATTTCATTATCTAAAATATTTGGCAAAGCTGAAGCGAGTAGATCCAATTCCGATGTTTGAGATAAGCTTAGTGCAGATGCTCGAATCGCATCAGGACCACTAAGAGTATTTTTCTTGCCTCCATGTTTTGATATTAAAGTTTTCAATGCTGAATACCATATATCTTGGTCAAAAGGTGTAGTGAAACCCAACCATAATTGTTTCTTCCCGAATAGAAATCGTGAACTCAAATGTATCTGATAACAGGGAACTGTAGTTTGCACAGAGTTTGAAGAATGCTTTATATTTGAATGGTTACACTCATTCGATACTGATGTATGACTACAGAGTAGGTGTTTTCGGCATATTTTGAATAAATTCAGTTGAATAACAATTTTCGTATCAGGTAAGTCTAATGTTTCATATTCTGTATCTTGCAAGTCAGCTGTAATTATTGCATTCTTTGGATCCTGATGTAAAATAAGTACTGCTCTATTCCATTCTTTCTGTAATTATTATTAAATGAAGCCTTACTATTTAGACAAAACGCTAGTAAAAATATTTATCCAAATACATAATATACTAAAATGGAAGATACTTGTAAAATATATACAGTGAAAATATTTATTTGTGTATCTATTCTATTTCTTTTTGTAGGATAAAGCCTCTCTATTTATCATATCAACACTGAATGTTTTTCATCGGCTTCTTATTTTCCAGTTATCACATAAACTTCCAAATAATATTTCAAATGAAAACTGTGTTATTAAAAGTATGGTGTAAAAATCTTTTTGGTTACCACTAAACTCGTTATTATGATATCATTTTTAAATATCGAAAGATTAAATAATTATTACCGTGGAATCGAATACAATGGTAGACTAGACTGAATTTTCAACACAAAACTTTGTACAACTTACATCATTTCAAGCTGCCACACTTCATAAAAATATACATAAAAGTGGAGGAACGGAGACATTCAAAGAAAATATAAAACTGTGAAATATGTGAGATAAAGAATAATCCTTTCGGAATAACGAGAATCTCATAATATGGGAGTTCATAAAGAGTGAATGCAACTGCTTTATTGAGAACGATTTTGACCGATGTTATCAACAGCCTTCAACCATTGATTCTTAGAGTCTCGAGGACCCCACCCAGGCACTCGGCACTTCTACAGATGACTCATACCAACATCCACAGGCTTCATGGATTGATATCACGTTTTTGGCCACTCTTAACTCTTTTGTAGCCTAATCTTTAATCAGATAACATTATTTGACGAAAAAGGCAACGGTACAGCATATCAAACCATAATTGAGTGGAACGAAGTGGATCAACACCATTTTATGAGAAACACACAAAACTAATATTATTTATAATTTGAAATATGCAATCAACTCTGCGGATATATCTTTAATATTCATATTCATGAGTATTTTTCATAGTGCAAAGATAACTACTGAGTTCTCATGTATTCTAGCCATAAATATGTATGAATCGTTTGACACTACATATTATCAGATAGTGAACAGAAGAATCCGGCCATTCCCTTGAACCCTATTTCCGTCAGTATTCGTATGTAGTGTCTATCTACAAAATCACGTAAACTGCAAAATTCGGGTCTTAGTTGTACAGCTTGAAGATTTCTTTGAAGTCTCTAGACAATGGTATAACGTCATATTAAAGTGCATCACAGAATGTAGGAGTCTCGAATCACAAACAGTCCTCTATCGATTTTTCGTTCACTTACCACACCTTATAAATGTGTGTGAAAGCACATCTTGAGGTGATTCAGCACTGCATCCTGCGAGTATGCAGCTTCTGAGGCCAGTGGCAGGAAATGATTTCATCTATTGAAAGAATGTCTTATTTGACTATGTCTTGTGAGATCCTATAATTACATATATGTTGTGGACATCGTATGAAACCAATTCTTTGGAGACATTTTTGGTGAGGCACTGCCATCGTTTCATGGAAAAGGAGTGAAAATGGTGACACCTAGGTTCTATAGATTTGAATTTTGATTGTCAGACTAACAACACATTGGCAGCAGACGTGACCATGATTGAAGCAGACTAGTCTCACCTTCGGCATAAAAATCTATATTTCCTTCTTAAAAAAATTCCACTGGCAATTAAACAGCCGTCTAGGTACATAAACTTTTTAATAACTTCTAATGGTCCCTGTCTAAAGGTAAATGCGGGCACAGGTTCTCAACAACTTTGCAATAGTAATTTGTATTTATACGGTATTGAGCATAAACAATGGTCACAGACCATGAACATCAGCTTGTTAAAATACATTTAGATTTCCTGTATATTGCTTCAGGAGGGAGCAATATTGTTTTCGCAACCAAGGTTGAATAGCTTTTCTCCAAAAGGGAGACAGAAGTTCACTCACCCTCAGCCTTAATCCTTCATACTTTCAGATTGCGAGATAAGATGAAGTTTGCTTACTTCTTGAGAACCTGAATCTTGAAAAATTAAATCTGTTTTCACCAATATTTTTAAAATAAACCACCAGTGTAAATGCGTGTATTCTTCGCAAAAAATCAAATATTTCAAGATCTCTGTCATTTTACTCCCAATGGTAGAAATTCTTTCTGATATCATCAATTTTGTTATCATCTAGTATTCATTCCTTGCATTCCAAGTGAGATATATAGCTTCATGACTTCATTTCTATTGCGCTCACTTCTCCAACATCACTCCTAACTGACTCCTCAACTGCCAGTAAGCTTTTCTTTCCTCCTCTATACCACCCTATAACATCCAGCCCACCTCTTCCCACCAGAAAGTCTGGTGCGCGATGTCACTCAGAGGTCTTCTCAATGTATTTCCCCATATCTTTCCAGGTATTTACTAAATGGTTCCCTGCCTACTAGAGTTCGCCGTTGTTTGGTCATCTTTCCCGGTCGGACACGTTACTTTCAGTGTTGAACAAAGACAACTGTTGGTGAAGGTTTGCAGCCTGCTAGGAATGGTTTCGGTGAAGTGTTAAGTTTCTGAAGTACTAACTTCTAAATGCTGTGTGAAGTAGATTTTCAAACTGATTTCAGAGTACTGAACGCCTATGTTGCTTTCCCTCATCTTAGCTTACTCTGACATCCACATCTGTGGGACATGTAGTTAAAAAGGTGTTGTCTAGCCAACTGTTTATAAGAAGTGACTTCCTTTAGATTACCATCAATGATGGTGACTTGTGCTTGTTGTTGTTGATCGGATATTTTTAACATCTGCCTTCTCTGTGTTCACCTGAAGTCCTGGTTTTTACTGCATCTTATGCCAAATCTCTGACTTTCGCTTGTTAATCTTCGACTTTTTGAGGCATGGGACACAATTCGTCTGTGAAATGCAGATCATTTAGGAAGCTTTTGTCAGTCAAACGTATGACCATCGTCTGAGTCCCTTCGGCCTACTTCAAGATCCAGTTCTCTACAATGTATCATCGGTTTTAAGTCATAATTTAATGCTGTCATTTGGCCATAAATATTTGACTGCTCATGTTAACATCTTTAAATTATTTTCCTTTATCTGTTAAATAGCGTCTATCGCTCTTATTAGTATTATTGTCTTGAAATTAAGTCAAACTTATATTTTGCAACCATAGCACCTAGAATTACTGCCACATAGGCACATAAATTAATAAATAATATAAATAAAATTAGTGAGTCATCAGGTGTTATATGGTAAATTAAGAAAAAAGACGCATATGAAAATTGGGATGGTAAAATTATGATTAAAAATGAAGTGTATCTTTAGGTAACCGCCGATAGATAAGGGTTTGATTTATAAAAACTCCCGGGATCCACTCAATAACTCAATTAGTTTAGTGAGAAGACATTGTCTTATATACACAACGTATAAAATTATGACATGTCTCTAACAAATAAAGTAGATGACGCTTTCATACTCTTCAACTCACTATATATTGCATATATATATATATATATATATATGCCAGTCTAACTTTTACTTGTCCTGTTTATATATATTAGGAAGTTGTGAAACAAGCGGTTTCCCTCAGTGTAGATTTTGTCACAAACCAGCACAACTTAGAGAATTGCTGTTAACATTAGAGAAATGAACAACTCTCTTTTTCTATTTGGGATTGCTCAGTAGTATACACCAGGGATCAAATTCAACGGCTACGCATTATTCGATGATAACAGTAAATATTCGGTCATTGACTTGTAATCCAATGACTTAAGGATTCTAACTGACCTCAGTATATTAGTTATACCAAATACTATCATACTTTCACAGAATACCCTGTGGTGTTTTGCAACCTTAACATCGTGAAGGCTCTCCACATTACTGTATTAGGATATTGTTTCATTAGAAGCCCTTAAATTCACGGTGCAACAGTTGCCTCAGTCGTTTGTTTCAATAGTAGTTGGTTGAAATCTCAAGTATTATTATTAGCATAAACATAATTTTGGCTTTGAACAGAATTCTTCAACAACTTCGTCATTTACCATACCTTGTTTGCTGGATAGTTTGTCAGGAACTTAAAATATCCCCGTGTGCGCAACGACAGGTCATTCATCAGTGTATTTGAAATTCCGCCTATTATGATTTCGTCGTTTGAAGGCCATTGGCTTTCAATTTTTGGCTCAAAATGTAGACTTTACAGTGTTGTCCATAAATTGAAATATCTGCTTTTTTCTTACTTCTCTCAATGTTCTTTCTAAACCTCAATTCTGAAACTACAGGTTTTCATGAAGGGTATGGAATAAAACAATTTAAGGTCATAAAGCGGTTGCAGGTTGCTACCCAAAGTTCAATAAGTCAGCCTAGTGGTTCCGGTTACCAAGAGAATTATCCAAAATGCTACTTCATCACCCGGTAAATGAATAAATGCTTGTATCTAGTACATGTTCTACAAATATACCACCCTTTCATAACAAAAAACATCAGACTAACTTGAGAGAGGAGAGACGAGTGAGAATGAATAGATTTTCCATCAATTGAGTTCATTCATCTCCCTGATGTGTCTTCTCATAATAATCCCATCATGGAGATTTTCAGCTATGAAACGAACTGAAGTCAGTTTCTATCACGAGTTGACTTCGGTTAGAGAACCACTGTAAGAACCCCAGCGGCTAGTGTGTGGATGTCTCGTACACGTTTAATACTCTCCAGCTGCGCATTCCCATAGGTACACCAGGACCTTCAGGTCACAAGATGAACCCGTCTACCACTCGGCCAGTGGGGCGGAAATTCAGTGCACCACTAATTCTACCTTCTGCCAGTCCGCTATATAACGCCAACTCTAGCCAGTGTCATCGCATTCAGGTTCAGGAGCAACAAACAAGCCCCAGAAATTCTATGCCTGCATCATTCTCCACGCAACAGAGTCATCATCGCTCTGAGTTTCTGAAGCCGAGATTTTTCTCTAGTTTTGAAAGATCTGTGTCTTGTCTTGATTTGTTCCTCGTATGAGTAGGACAAGCATTTTGGAAATTGAAAGACGGAGGATCAAGAACCAATGCAAAATATTGTATACAAGAAATTTTTAGGAATTATTCACCGTTACAAGTCTCTTTCCTCTAGTGGATCGACGAGCCAGTTGGAGGTAAAAAGCTAAGTGTAGTACAATTAGTGATACTCTACCAATAAGCACAATTTCAACGGTCTCAATCTCTGCTCATTTACCCATGTTAAGGTGATGTATATACCTGGATTCATTGAACTATTCATAAGTTCATTCTCACTTTTCATTTGCTTCTTGCCCAGTGTCCGCTGCACCTAGAATAGAAGACAAGAATGCTTAGAACTTTGTCAATAGAATTACTAAAGATAGTGGTTTATTTGGAACAGTATATGTAAATTCACAGTCAGAGAGGCACATTTAATTTATGACGCGGAATGCGGCGAATAATAATCCGCACACATAAAGAGTATGTCGTAATCACAATTGTTTTTATAAGAATAAGATACCTCCATTGTATCCCGTTATATAAAAGTCAAGGGGCTTGGGGAACGTTACGCTTCGTCTGGAAAGTACTTTTGTCTCCCTAGACGCTTACGCTGCCTTCGCCTTGCTGGTTACTTTTTCGAGTGCTGGCAGATGTTCTGTTGGCTGGGTGTCATTCAGAATGACTGGTTTCCAGACATACTCCGTATTCCTGGGACTCATGGGTAGTTGTGTTTCTTGGACTAGCAAGTATGAAATTAACATCCACATAATTATATGATTCTCCAGTGAGAATAATCAACTTTCTCCACTCTCCTATCCTAGAATTCCTTCAACGTCTATCTAATCGTCGTTTTATTGAAGGATGTGATAAACTGGTGGCCAGCCTTGATGGTTGGCTTTGCACCACATAACCCTCCTTATATAAGTTCGCTCAAGTGTTATGAAGGTATACCTGAATATATTCAGGCCTTTGCGATAAACAGTGAGTCTGACACTTGCATCTAACACTTCTATTGCTACATAACGTTTTCATGATGTGTAATTTATGAAGAATTCGAGTTATTTTCGGCATAGGTAACAGCACACACCCCCTAGGTTTCTAACAATTTGCTATCTACTCCTTTTGTCATTCCTTTGGCAACCTCCTGGTTAGCACCCATATGGCCGAAACCAAATTCGCCAGTTAAATCAAATGATCAAATTATTTTATCGTAAGACAACCCCCTGTATGTGGAAAATTTCAAGTATTTTTGTCTCTTTCTTTAGTACACAGTTTCTTCCACTTACTTTCAAGTCGCTTTCAGACAATATTGTTGATTGATGTAAGGCTTATTAACCTGAAAGTTCAAGGTAAAGTTCGAGACATTTTTCGTGTAATTTAACATTCTGCTGTGGCTTCCTGTGTTATTTTACCACACCAACCGATCAATCAAAACAAGAGCAAAATAAACCGTACATGACGTCACACAATTGAGACTTTGAAAGTGTTATAAGGAAGTGGTGACTACCGAAGAATATGCAGCTGTGTTGTTTGCAGAAGCTGTTCGGTCCCAGAATGCAATTTATGCAGCCAATGGATGAACCTTCGACTTGACAAGGGAGTTTATAAGAAACAATTCATGCCCTAGATTTTGTTAAATATGCCCGAACTGTTGTCGTGACTCAGTGTTATTCAGTGTTCTATAGGAAAACACGAAAGGAGCATATCCGATTGCAGTCAGAAACTCTAAACTGATACGCAAGTCCACCTAGTTAGGGGGATAAAGACTGAAGACATCTGAAGCTACACTCGATTGTCATTCTATTCGTATACACCCCGTAAACACCACTGTCGAACGTAATCCTTTTGGTGAACTGCAGAATATTAAAACCCCGATGCATACTAGGTTACTTACCTCAGAAGTGAAGACAAGAACCTAAGCCCAAGATTATTCTAACAACTCACTAGTATGTGGTGTCAGCCTACCAAAACAAAAGGCACTGCATGTTCAGGGTCAGTGGCCTAATTTTTGCAGCATAATAGGGCTAAACTCTAATTCTTTAGAGCTGTGCGCACTGCACAGTGATGCGCTGGAACCTCAAGACTGATTCCTACCGAAGACGTCCGGAAGATATTTCAACTCCTCAGGGTCCTGGTTATAGAGAGAACTTCAAGTGTAAAACTATGGTTTGAAGGGCCATTGTCAGTCTGGCATATTGCTAGCCAGTCACGGGGATCAGTGCACTCCACCTCCATAGTCATGCACGGCGCTCTGGCATTCCTTTTGAGAAAAAATACAGCAATGCACAGTTGTAAAGATGACCATCATTTAAGATGCTTCTCGGTGGTTCTGAAAAAATTCCTAACTGTAGATTGTTCAGGCTTACTCACTGCCTATCAGTCAGCTCACCACGGCAACCGGCTGTTAAATTCGGCTCCTCTAAATAACTGGCTGATATGCTCCAGCGCTGTTACGAGATCAAAGCAGGCATATTCAGTGCTGACGAAACCAAACCACGAACCTCAAGGAGGCAGAAAACTGAAAACACAATGCGTTCTCATGCTCCAACAACACTACAGTGGCGCAACACTGATGACGACGACAACCAAGTATATTTAAGTGTCGTAGAAGGAATGAGGAAAACCAGAAGTAGGCTGATTCCATTATAATCGGTCAACTAGTTCGGGCTTTAAATCCTCATCCGATAGTCTACTCCATGTTAACTACCCCACAGTTAGGGCGACTATATGGCAGGATAAGGGGCTGGAGAGAAGAATATGAACTCAAAGATCCAGAGTCCCGTCTTGGTCTCAAATCAATAATACTGAAAGGAACTTGACAGAAAATACACATTATGAAGCACAACAATTTTGATAATATGCAACGACTTTTTGACGTGCGCTCCTTGGATACGATGTGCTTTTTCCTCTCTAACCGGAATTACCCGCTTGGGAAACTTGATCTCCCTAGCCAGTGAATTGAATTCAACCATTACTTACAAATTGAACCTCTGTATGGTAAGTCCAGATGTCTCGAACTACTGCCAAAGCTTCATGTGCCACTTCGGTAGCAGCATCTACCTCACTCGTGTAGATAAACAAGACTTGTTGGTCTACCACGTGATTGCTGTGAAGCAGATCATCCAGAAAGTACTCGGTAAAGTCGAAAACCTTTTTTTTTCCTTGTCTGGAACTTTTTCAGTCTTATTCTTTTTCATGTGGGTAGATACTGTTGCACTCTTATTCGTATATAGCACAAGTCATACTGATTGTTAATATGGCCGTCGAAAGTAGCCTTAGAAAAGGCACTAAAACATCATACTCTGTAGTCAGAAGGGCTTCAGCCAGAGAAGGAAAAAACCCAGGGATATCAACCCCTTCCAGCATACCGATCCTAAAGTCTCGTGTAGGTCTCGTCTGTCCTAATACTACGCCTGAATTGCCACAGTGTAGTATTGAAATGGCACAAGCGGTACCAGGGGGACAAGAAACCACACCTGCATCGACTGAAAGCCAGTGTGTGAAACATAGCAAACTTAGAAGGAGACGTTCAAGACGTCATAAAACCTCGAAGGCATCATCAAGGAAAGGAGACGACTGTCAGGCATGTAGTATCATAGTTTCTAAAACTGACTCAGTGTTTGAATGCAACTTTTGCAACCGATGGGAGCACTTCCGTTGTGACAAAGGGGTGCCGAAAGCATACTAAGAGTCTATGAGAAATAACCCATGCCCGTTGTTTTGGTTCATCTGTCCGCCTTGTCGCCCTGGCATAGTCCCACACAGCGTGTCTGCGGACAGCAGAAATAACACGCCACTCTTGTATCCCAACACAGTCTCATGCAGCCCCCCACCTGCCAGCACCTTATTGCCAAAAGTTGGCACAGACAGTAAGGAGGACACTCCAGTCCCACTGACTGGAAATGCCAATTTTCACAAGGTGAAGATTCACATGGTTGCACCCACAACATCAGGGGAAGATAGAATTAGAAAAGCACCACTTGCATCCACTAGCAAGCTTGGCAACACAACAAAGGCTGGCCAGAACTTGATGAAGCCTGACGTTTCTGACGCTGCAAAGGAATACAAGAAGCCAAAGTCCAAACCGAAGTCTTAGGTTAGTCGGCCTGATTCTCTTATCTCCTTTAACGTACTTGTGAGCAAGGATAGCTTGCTTGTTTGATCAGGAACAGTGGTCCAACCTGTGCAATAAACTAGGTCCGAACATTAGTTCAGCAAAATTATGCAGGCTGTACAGGGGTGTTCACATGCCTCAGGGTAAGCCACCCCCATTCAGCGTTACACTGGACTCTGCCGAAGAGGCCAAAAGAGTACTATTAATGGCTCA